ATGTCAGGCCTATCGTATGATGTTGTATCACTGGCACTTCCAAGAAAATCCGCTTGATATCGGTACGATGATGATGGTTTTAGAAGTAAACGCAATCCGGGAATCCAAACCCTACGCACTGAGAAATGTTGGCACGACATTGATCAAGTTAAAACGAGGCAACACGATAGCGTGATAAATTTGCACGCGCAAAAGAACAGCGTCTAATTTGCATATCGAATTATCTAGGTCATGTCGCCTTATAAGACAGCAAAACTTTACAATTAGTTACATTTGACGTGGTAGAATAAAAATAATCAACTTATGTGTGTGCATTATGGTGGAATATATAACGAGGGTGAGAAAATGTTGGTAAAAATAATTAAAGAATGCCGCTTCGGCCTGAGTTAATTAATTTTCCAACATTTTCGAATCCCATATGTTGATTATTTCTTAAATATTTAGGCTCCGCACTCTATATGTGCAGCCGTCGCTGTCCTCGATGACATCGGCAACTGCTTACACACGCCGGTGTATCGAATCCCGACCGGCGCTCCTGGCGTTCTCCAGCGTCTCGGCGCCACGCCAATCAACCTGTCGTTCCACCTTCGTACCTGGTTCCTTGTAACTCCGTATCTGCAAGAGCAGCGTGGTCCTTCTTTCAAAATCAATAATAATAAACATTATCAAACATTATAATTGAAATTATAAGAGACACATTTATTACAGTTCGGACAATCAGCGACTTTGCTTATGCTCATTATTTTGATTGTGGTTTTGCTGTCACTACTCCGGCTCACTCATTGAGAACATGACATTACTTGGATTTGACTAAAAAATAACGTGTGTTGTCGATGAAGTAGAAGACACTTACCTTTCCGGCACTCTTGGTGTGTTTACCTTTATACTTTCCAATTGCCGCCTTACATAACTTTCACGAGTAAGCGATTTGCCTTAGTTTCACATATCATGGGTTCGAATTAAGGTTATGTCATGGGTTCGAATTAAGGTTATGTCATGGGTTCGAATTAAGGCTATGTTCGGAATTGTCTTGACGTTTTCATCTCACATGAAGAACAAATGTGCCATTGTTTTGCTTTTAGATCACCTGTATTGGATTTTCGAAGAGCGGTAAAACGTAATGAGATTGCGTCATAATATTATGCTATCTCTATGCTAATACATTGTATTCGTTTTATTGTAGCAATAAATACACCGGTACCAATTAATAATAACAAAAATTACCGAGCATCCGTCTTGTATATGATCAAAGTAGCTTGGCGTCTTTAGTAGACATAATAAGTACGCCTCAGTCTGTACATAATAAAAGAAAAGATGAAATATTTAATCACCTCATAAACAAATAGTGGCTGTCTTCTTAATCAATGTGCTGAATTTAAAATTGAATAATTTGATTGGCATGTGTAAATAGGCAAAGGTAAAAGACAAATGTGTAGGAAGATCCTCCTTGGTTATCAAACAAGCTTAGTGTATATTGCAAGCAGGCATTGTAGGCGTTTTCAGACAGTTATCGAATGTATTGGGTTTGGAAGACACTCCTTCATACTTAACAAACACCCATGAGTGGAGTGTGGATGTCGAGGTCACTCCTTCATACTTAACAAACACCCATGAGTGGAGTGTGGATGTCGAGGTCAAGAAATATCCATTTAAGATTGGTTGGCATTTTGGATTTCAAAAGGCAAATTCTTTTTAGAATAATAGACTTGATAGATTTAACTCACACTGGACGCGAATTCAGTTCATCATGTGGTTCCATACCGACCTGATTATTATCTTTGAATTCCTGTCGATGACAGGAGTCTTCCGGCATATATCGATATACTGCACGTTCTTCTGGACCATAGATGTTGGCCAAGAGTAATCGAAACGGGGCGTTATTGATTTAAACATATTGTATTGCCATAAATTAAGCAAATGATTGGGCACAAGTTAAAACAACATTATTTACGCTCTTTCCACCAATTTTAACAAACAAGTTTTGTTTTAAGGTTGTTCTTGTTCGTAGAGGTTTAAAGTTTATACAGTTGTACAGTGGTAAGCATTATTGCAGGGGTGACCACAATTACACTCAGGGGTGACCACAATTACACTCGGGGGTGACCACAATTACGCTCAGGGGTGACCACAATTACTATTAGGGGTGACCACAATCACTCTTATGGGTGACCACAAGTACACTTAGGGGGGACCACAATTCCACTCAGGGGTGACCACAATTACACTCAGGGGTGACCACAATTACTCTTAGGGGTGACCACAAGTACACTTAGGGGTGACCACAATTACACTCAGGGGTGACCACAATTACTCTTATGGGTGACCACAATTACACTCAGGCGTGACCACAATTCCACTCAGGGGTGACCGCAATTACACTCAGGGGTGACCACAATTACTCTTAGGGGTGACCACAATTACACTCAGGCGTGACCACAATTACTCTTAGGGGTGACCACAATTCCACTCAGGGGTGACCACAATTACACTCAGGGGTGACCACAATTACTCTTAGGGGTGACCACAAGTACACTTAGGGGTGACCACAATTACACTCAGGGGTGACCACAATTACTCTTATGGGTGACCACAATTACACTCAGGCGTGACCACAATTCCACTCAGGGGTGACCGCAATTACACTCAGGGGTGACCACAATTACTCTTAGGGGTGACCACAATTACACTCAGGCGTGACCACAATTACTCTTAGGGGTGACCACAATTCCACTCAGGGGTGACCACAATTACACTCAGGGGTGACCACAATTACTCTTAGGGGTGACCACAAGTACACTTAGGGGTGACCACAATTACACTCAGGGGTGACCACAATTACTCTTATGGGTGACCACAATTACACTCAGGGGTGACCACAATTACACTCAGGGGTGACCACAATTACACTTAGGGGTGACCACAATTACACTCAGGGGTGACCACAATTACACTCAGGGGTGACCACAATTACACTTAGGGGTGACCACAATTACACTCAGGGGTGACCACAATTACACTCAGTGCTTTTTACGAAATTAACTGTAAATGATAATGATAATATTTAGATTCCTATCTCCAAAGTTATTATATACAGGTAGCTGAGACTGATTAAAAGTAATTACGTTTACACAATAAGGAGGAGTTATTCGAAGATCATGTAATTTACATTTTAATAAAGACTATATTAACGTATAAGGAATTGCGATGATAGTAGACTTCTGCAGACAATTCATAAATGGGCATGTTCTATTAGAAAATCCTGGGACTCTCGGGTTGTTAGTCTGATAGCGGCGAAAAATTTAAGTGAAGTTTTAACCGCAAATACATCAACGTACAAATGTATGAAGGATATTAAGAATGTCCTGAGTTTTGAAGATGATGATAAGTGGCCGTTGTCTTTGTGGGATAACACAAAACAATATAAATGGTAATAAACTGCGTACATATAGAACTTACAAGTATGAGCCTGTCACTAGCGTTTATGTAAAATCTGTACATCTCAAATGTAAAAGATTTTTTTTATTTAACTTTAGATGTGGCTATTTGCCCCTTGAAATTGAAAAAGGTATTCATGCCCGACCTGTGATTCCTGTCAATAATAGGTTATGTAAATTGTGCAACAACGATGTAGAAAACGAGTATCATTTTTTAATGGAATGTATATTTTATGATGATCTTCGATCTGTAATTTTAACGAAAGCAAACAATGTATATTAATTTTTCATTGATATGAACAAATGAACAGTTCAAATATGTGATGTGTGAACCAGTTCTCCAAAAGACACTAGTTACAATGTACCCAACTTTCTATTATGTGGAGAAGAACTATGTTTCTCCCGTATTAAATTATGTATCAGAATTAGATGTGCAGTATGGGGTGGGGGATATATAATTTGTCGGTAGGGATAGGCCCAACCACTCTTGTATATCTCTTACCCTGTTAGGGTACATGATATTATATATATATGGAAATTATAGTCCTGTTACATATAAAATGTATCAAGCACAATTGTTTTTACAAAGACTTGTTAACAACATTACATGTCTGAAGATAGTAAATAGTGTGATTGTTCTTATAACGTGTCTAATAAGTCATTTTAGCTAGACACATTTTATATTCAATGGTATATATGTATTGTGTTTGACACGAAAATAAAATATTTGAACTTTGATCTTGAACTAGTAATCCCAGCTGTAGCAGCGTTTTGTTTTTAGTTGAAAGGCATGGAAGCAATGGGTTTAGGAAATTTATAAGAAAATAATCCGGGTGTTTTTATCTAAAATACGGTGGTATGTTTACTTCTATAGACTTGTGGTGTAAGATCCGACTTTCTTAAAATGCCGGATTATCAGAGGTTCGTGAGAGACGGGTCAACATTCAAATCAAAAGATGTTACTTTCAAATAAAATCTTTTTACCTCGCTTTGACGTGTACAGTGAATCCACAACTACACCTTCCCCCTTTTCGGGTCGAATAAGCGACATGACAGGTAAAAGTTTAACTACTTAGGCTAAATCAGAACCTGTTTGATACTGGGAAATTAATAATGATATCTTTTAAAATAATAAAATATTGAATGTAAGAAAGGTGACTCACAACCATACGAGTTCACTTATTTTTAACCAATCAATTATTGAGAGGGTTCGTACAAGGTTGTATGCAATTTAAAGTGCTCAACATTCAAAACATATCTGAGTTTTCGATCAAGAAAGAATGCAAAGGTTGGTCAGGTACACATAATGTCAAGCCGGATATGTAGCATGTGATCACTGGAGTATGTCACCAATCATCCCCTAAGAATTGTCTATTTACACATGTCAATCAAGTCTAGCCATTCATAAAACGTTATAAATCTAAAAATAATTCACGTTGAATGACATTGCAATATAAAGTTATTGGATCAAATCCACACACGCCTATGCGGATTATTGAAAGTGATGTTAAACCCATGTAGGTTTCTAGATCGAGGTCGCCCTATTCAAAATACAGTCACGTAACACCAAGAAATGTGCATGTTTTCACGGTATTGCAAACAGTTCAATCGATGCTGTAGTACAGATACTGGTGCGCTTAAAACTTTGTCATTCGCCATACGTCGTAAGGTACGCATGCTTTTATAGGGAGGGGCCAGAGCCAGGTGGAGAATGGGTCAAGATGGAGAACGCGCGTTCGGGGAGTACCTGTAGACTCGGCACCTGTATATCAACGCCAGCAAAGGAATATATTTTTTTGCGGTAAGTTCAAACAGTTAATAATGCTCAGTAAGAGTGCCTTGTCAACCTGACTTCACGACACTACATGTATATGTGTCATATCCAGATATGCGGCATAATTTTAACAATCGGCAAACGGTATTAAACGGTAACTAACCTTGGTTTAAACAGTATTGAGATTGCAGCACAACAAGATGATATCCATAACAGACATCAAAACCCGCTTAGACGTCCTATTGAATTTAGGGTGGTGTAGTGTCTTCAACTATGTAGGGTAAGAGGGGGAAATCTGAAATGTTCCAAGAAAACTGGAAACCTGTACTCTCTCACTCAGACGACATCGGGCTCCCCAGGGTAATGAAGGAGTATTTGTCTCTCACACATTGATGAAGATACCCAACGTACGATCAATTTGCAGCTTTACGAAGATAATGTTTCAGTGTGCTCTTTCGTCGTGTCAGTCTACTCAATATCAATCCAAAATATAAAACTGATTTCAACATTATTTACTTTTTGTTTTTCACAGTGATGAATATATATATTATAATAGAAAAACTTTTACCGAAATCTACCTTGGGCAACATGTGTTTTTTCATCCCCTTTAGAACAAAGAAAATAATATGAAAATAACTTTTTGGATCAGATCTGAAGTGTAACATCTATCTCATGTGTAACATCGTGTACAGGCAACTAAATGTGTAGTAAGACACCAGGCTAAAGTATTATAGATTTACCAAAACCCTTCCTCGGAGTACCTGCCTTGTACAAATATTTAACTATCAATATTGGCTTAAAAAAATCTCAAGTTGAAAATATTTGCTTAAGTGTCATTTATGATAGAAAATAATACTTGTTAACTTCAAGACCAACATTGGTGAAAAACTGATTTATTAAAAAGTGGGTGTCGTTATTTAATTAACACACATGAATAGTGGTGCTTTCACAAAGATGTACACAAAAATCGATTTTCACATTTGGTCAGCAGAGCTGATTTCAAGCTATTTAACTTCAAATTGAACAATGTTTCCGTTTCTGCATCTTGCCATCTTAAACAGCACCAACAAATGCTTAAAAGCATTATACATTTTTCTGTGTGTGCACTACTTCCTAGTGATGCCATTTTGTTAAGATTTATAAATAGATATATCCTAGCTCATAAGGTCAAATCTTCATTTCGTGCAATTTTGACTGAACATGAAAAAGGTTAAAGATTCTGAACAGCAGAACTATTTATTTTTGTATGGGTTTGATTCTTTTACTCTATCATTTTTATGAAAACCTTTCATAAACTGGTGGTTTTCAAACAATCAATTAGAAGGTAAACTTTGACAACTTTTCAATTATATCTAGAATTGCATATCCCACCACTCTGTACTAATTGGGATGAGAGTGTTTTCTTTTTTAATAAAACATAATCGTTTTCCCTTGAGATAAAGGGTCATGTTATAGTGCTTATGTCTGCCAAATCATCTAATAAATGGACAGAACTTATTTTCAGAATCATGGACATTTTACTGGCTATTCAAAATTGCACGAAATGAGGTTTCACTCTTCCTGACTTCCTCTCTTAGGTCAATATATTCTTACCAAGATAGAATTTCTGCTAAGAATTATAAATACATAAAAATTGTGTAAAAAGCTTTGAAGCATTTGCATCTGTAACGTTCGATATGAAAGTTGCACAAACACATACTAAAGAACCAGCAACTCGCCACATTACAGAACCAGAACTTTTACGGTCATAAATACTGACCTCAAGTTAAAGTATGGACAATAAATACATGGTTAACGGTATAACACAGACGTCTCACAGATTTATTTCCACTGTGGTCCCCGTTATATGAAATACATTTACGTACATAAATGCTAACCTCAGGATAACTATAATAAGCACATGTCTATCTCTATAACAGATCAATATAATAATCGTATTGATATAACCTATGACGTCTCTGTACAGAATATTTGATTTGTAACTTTCGGAGTAATATAAATTTTATTACCGGAATAAATGTGTATATCAAAAGATAATCTATTCATATATTCGTAAAACGAATTAATCAATGGATGCATAAAAGGTATGAGTAATCAAGGGCTTCGTAGTAAAATGTTCTTACTCCATTCGACAAAAATACTGTAAAGAGGAAATGTTCGTGTGGGGATATGTTCGCATGGGGAAATGTTCGCGTGGGGATATGTTCGCATGGGGAAATGTTCGCGTGGGGATATGTTCTCATGGGGAAATGTTCGCGTGGGGATATGTTCTCATGGGGAAATGTTCGCGTGGGGATATGTTCGCATGGGGAAATGTTCGCGTGGGGATATGTTCTCGTTGTGGCTCTTCAAACAGTTCATGGTGTGGAAATATTTATATATTCTATTTATCCAAATCTCTATATCGTATAAATGAATATATTCTTTGCGCTAATTTACTAAATGCGAAAAATTGCGAACATATCCTCTGTTCTGTCGATTACAACCCTTATATCAGAAGGTAAAATAAAAACAAGCATTGTTATCATTAACAAAGGTTTATGGTGTTTAACCTTTAGCACATGGTGCCGTCAAGTTGAAAGAGGAGTTTCTTCTATTATATCCACGGCGTTCATCGACTCGAGTAAAACCTTATGTAACAAGAGGCCCAATAGGCCTGAATCGCTAACCTGGTATTATTCTCACACTTGTTATCTTAAAACTGGACTAATATAGAGCTACAGGCAAAATATCTGTGTTTGATTCATTAGAATCTATTATACGAACTAAACATATGACGCCTGTGACCTTGAAAGTCGAACAAGGACATTAAGATGAACAGAGCTTATAGCCTTCCGTCCCAGCATTTCTGGCTAAATATCATTACCTTGGACCTTTTGAATATTCAGAACAAGTCATATAAAGGTTTGAACATATTTGACCCCTGTGACCTTGAAAATCGATGAAGGTCATTTGTTTGAATAAACTTGGTAGCCCTTCATCCCAGCATGTAAATGGCCAAATATCATCATCCAATGCCTTTTGGTTATTGAGAAAAAGTTGTTTAAAGGTTTTAAACACATTTGACCCATGTGACCTTGAAAATAGATGAAGGTCATTTGTTTGAACAAACTTGGTAGCTCTTTATCCCAGCATGTTCTGGCCAAATAGCATCATCCAAAGCTGTTTGGTTAATGAGAAAAAGACATTTATAGATTTCAACACATTTGACCCCTGTGACCATGAAACAGGATCAATGTCATTCATTTGAACAAACGCTGTTTGAAGATTTTAAGACATTTGACCCCTGTGACCTTGAAAATAGGTCAGGGTCATTCATTTGAACAAACCTGGTAGCCCTTTATCCCAGTATGATACAGGCCCAATATCAGTACCCAGGGTCTTTTTGTTACTGAGAAGTTGTTGGAAGATTTTAACACATTTGACCCTTGTGACCTTGAAAGTGATTCAAGGTCATTTATTTGAATAAACTTGGTAGCCCTTCATCCAAGCATGCCACAGGCCTAATATCAGTACCCTGGGCCTTTTGGTTACTGAGAAGAAGTTGTTTGAAGATTTTAACACATTTGACCCTGTGACCTTGAAAGTGGGTCAAGGTCGTTTATTTGAATAAACTTTGTAGATCCTTATCCAAGCATGCTACAGGCTCAATATCTGTACCCTGGGCCTTTTGGTTGTTGAGAAGAAGTCGTTTGAAGAGTTTATGACATTTGACCCCTGTGACCTTGAAAATAGGTCAAGGTCATTCATTTGAACAAACTTAGTAACCCTTCATCCCAGTATGCTACAGTCCCAAAATCAGTACCCTGGGACTTTTGGTTACTNAGTAACCCTTCATCCGAGTATGCTACAGTCCCAAAATCAGTACCCTGGGACTTTTGGTTACTGAGAAGAAGTTGTTTGAAGATTTTAAGACATTTGACCCCTGTGACCTTGAAAGTGGGTCAAGGTCATTCATTTGAACAAATTTGGTAGCACTTCATCCTAGGGTGCTTCTGGCCAAATATCATCACCCTAGGCCTTTTGGTTATTGAGGACGACGGACGGACGACGGACGGACGCCGCGCCACGGCATACCCTTCGGGCAAGTGAGCTAATAAAACCAGGGAATGTTTCGATAGGTAAATAAAACATATGATTCGATCCCAATAGTTTCTCCTGCTATTCAACCTTTAAAACATAACATATATATCCATTATACCATATGTCCTTATCATTATTAATACGGTTGTCATATGCATCTGTGTACATTTCTCGGTGTCAACAACAGTCAGGCTGATTAACGCAACCTCGCAGATTCACAGTAACACCACAATATGTCGCACACTAACTACTAATGAACCTTGAACCTTGACAAACGAAAGTAAGTGGAAGTTAGTATTTCATCCAGACAAGTGCCAGGTCTAAACACCAGTGACAACATAGAGTCTATAATAGTAATCGTTACAACTCTATAGTCGGTGACGTATTGGAACATTTTGAGTAACGCAGTCTTGCAAATCACAAAAAGGAAGCGAAACAAACCATGCTGATAATGATAAAATATATTACAGTAAAGTTGTCTAAACAACCAATGCATTCTCATCAAAAGTCTTTTCAAATTATCTCCTACAGTAAGTTCGTGGGGTAAAATATCCTTCCTGTTTTTATCCAAACTGGGGAAATGTTTTTAATTTTTCATTCCCTGGCATTTTAGAATTAAAACGGACAAAGCGTAAGACCTAATTAGATTATTTTATCAAATAAGAATGTCACTTTGGTTCATCTTAGGAAAAGGAGACCGTTTGATAAATAAGAAAACCGGATATTTATTTTAACAAATAAAAAAAATGTTCTCTCTCCTCATAGCAGAGGGTGTTGGAAGTTTTAACATAATTGAAGTTTTACTTCTGTTTAGCTACTTAATCACCGTTTACAAATAACTATATTACAAAAGGTTTCTGGCTCAGATACCAAGTAAATAGACAAATGTCAACAGTTTGGTTGTTCAAAGACGGCAATATAATTTAACATTACTCGGCACACGGAGAAAAGTTTAGTATATCTGTATGATTTATTGAACTGTATTCGTTATACGTATACGTTAATATGGATCGTCAGAACAATACTTTAGATAAACCGCAGTCTATAAAATAAATTATATGTTAAATAATTTCTCAGATGAAGTAAACACCCTCGTGCATCCATTTTTCCGGGTTATTGACAATAATGCTATCCAGTGCTACTCGGTCAACTCTAACCATTGGTCGAATACATTAAGTATAATATTGTTTTCTAACAATGATATTTCACGAAAAACAGATAAGATAAGCATTGAACAGGTAAGGCAATTAACCTGTCTTTTGTCCGAGACTTAAGTGTCGTAATTGGTAAGACCAGTTAATCTCATTACGTAACATAATTGACTTGAAAGGTATAATGTATACGATGGACACCAATATTGCATGAGTTAATCTGACGATAATGAATCAAAGAAGTTACATATAACAACATCAAAAGTAACATATTTACACATAGAGTTTTTTTAAATGGTACAAATGTAATTAAATAGCTTTTAGGTATGAAATTGTTACTGAACGAAATTAAATGGCGAAAGTTTATATGAGGAAATACAAAATAATGAACGAGATGTAAATGTTTTACGATAAGATCATGCCAGAGACGTATAATGCATATAGTATAGTAATGTATTATACGTCTCTGATCATGCCATTATTATATTACGCTAAAATTCGAACTCTGACGGGAAACTGTACTTACAAAGTATTCGATACTATTCACAAGCTTAATCTCTTTATGATGATACTTTTCATGAATATAATCAATGGATTGTTGATAACCATGATAAAGCACATATTTTATCATGACAGGGTGCGCCGCTTGAAAATCCGGATATAGACGACATCTCATAATTTACCATGTCGATCGTTCTTCCGGTGTTAGACTCCAGCATGGATGAAAGGGGAGGAGGGTTCTGTAACTCTCCATTTATTGTAAGTTACCCGCGAATTGTAATTTTTCGATCGCTTTGTAAACTGATGTTGAGTTTATACTTCAATTTCATTGATAAAATCAATTGATCATTGCTTACGCTTTTATTTGTTTACTCGGAGAAACTTAGACTGACAAAGCAGTCCTCAAATGACCGCTGTACTAAGCGGGATACTGTGTGAACATGCCAAGCACGTCGGTTTCGCATTTAAGAATCATCTCATAATCGACAAAGGATTGTAATTGTGATGTCTTTATCTCTTAAAATGTTTTAAAAGCTATATATATTTCAATATACGCTCACTTTAACCTGTTGATATGTAAAAGTTAGCATACTATGCCTTACTTGACCGAGAGCGATTACATAACAGTTATAAATAAAATCACGGACTTAGATAGCTAATCTAATTCTGTGGTTAAATGAAGTACGTCATATATATGCATCGATAAAAACTGAAAACCTTCAGTGTTGGTTTGCATAATTTACCGTAATACTGAAACAGTTGAATGCTGCATGTTCCAAACATTATAGATGATACAGAGTAAGATTGTGTTCTAATTCCATTACTGTACACAAATTCCACACACTGGTTTGTGATCCAGACATGTACCATACGATACCGAGTTGAATGTGTTGTACTAGTCTATACACTTCATGTCAACATGCATTCCACGAAACAGATTTTAACAGAGGGGTTATGTTGTTTTTGACACTGTCACATTCCACACAATATAGAGTTGAATGTAATGTTTCAGACCTATTCTACATGACAGAGAGTTCAGCAAATAATTGGTGTTCTATATTTGTTGTACACAATACTGCATTGAATATGGTGTTTTAGACCCTTTCACATGATAGATAGTTTTATAATGGTGTCCCAGTTTCTTTACACTGTCACCAAATTAATTAATTCTCTCTTATAGAGCCATTAAGGTATACTTCAAGAAATCGGTTTAATATAAAAATAAGATTTATCTTTATGGTGTTTTTTTTTATACAGGATGAACAGCAGTCATGGAACACAACAGACCCCGACTTCAGTCCCTGTTTCCAGAAGACAGTAATCTTGTGGATACCTTGTGCCTTCCTGGTACTGGTCACCCCCTTTCATATTTATTTCCTCACAAAGAGCCAGGCACCAACAATCCCCTCCTCATGTCTCAGCATACTCAAGACGGTAAGTACAGGGCTAGATTTCAACCATCCCACCCATTGGTATAAGTATCCTCAAGTATTAATTACCAGGTCAGACCCCAACCATACCATCTTCAAGAATACATATCCTCAAGAAGTGTAGTACCAGACTAGACACAAACTTTCCCCTTATCCCTTAATTATTTCTCTGTGTCATCAATGCAAGAAACAGGTAAATCAGATCCATTGGAACACCTGGTGTTCTCTCACAGCAACCTTTATTTATTTTCAATAAGTTGATACAGTTATATAAGCAAGTACAAGGGAAAATGAGATCCAACATCTGCTAGAGAATGTTCTGTTAAGTTCTGCATACCCCAATTGATGGATTCCTAAATGAAATTCACTAGTCTGTCCAAAAGAGTAGGATATATTAGGTTTACCCTATAGCTATTTAATTTCACTGCAGGGCTAATATTTCGCAGTTGATCAGTATTTTTTTGCAAGAAATAAATTTCACTCAATATTGTCTAGTCAGAATGATGATGTCACTGGCTACTTCCTTAACCCACAGTCTCTATAAGCTTCTTACTAATTGTGTTATATCAACCCTGGAGGGTATGGTTTAAAATCAAATGAGAATAGAAGCTGTCACATCATGGGTAGCTTGAAGTGTGATTGACTGGGTTTTCGGTAGTAAAGGATAAATATACACATAGACATTTTTCTTTGCATAAATTAATGGAGATTATAATTCATGATATCTGTAATAATATTCACTGGATTTTTAATTCTGCACAATCTTTGATGATCACAGATATAGCAAATTTTAAACCGCCATTTATAATACTAACTAGTACACACTACACACTAACAGTGTAATATAATGCTCATCAAGTAAAAATAATAGACCTCTACATTTACATATCATGATATCAGTTTATTTTCATAACATAGATGGAACATTATGACAATCAATGTGTAAATAGTGACAGATGTTTGATATGATCATTGGTTGCAGGTGTTAGCTGTGTTGCTTGCTGTGGCTGCTATCGCAGACATAGGGAAGAGTGTGCAACAGTTTATCTCAGAAGAACCAGTACCAACTGTTGATTTCATATCACCCCTCATCTTTTGTCTTACAATGGTAGGTTGGAAATTATTTCATATTTTGAAAATGTATAAAAGAAAACAGGGTCTTTTATGGTTTTAATGCTCCAGTTTAACTAGAGTGGTGAGATCGATTTCAACAGTTTTTCATGATGACTTTATGTCCACATAATTTAGATTCTGACAAAATAAGGTTAGATTTATTATAATTAGTTCGTAAATAATGGTGTTAAGTATATTGACACGTACAGTTTAACAAACTGAACATTCTTATTATTACATGCTGAACGGCCCATCAACACAAGAGATTATTAGGGCCAACAAATTGTTGACCAAAATACTTTGATCCTTGAACTTGCATAAAACAGATGTTACGCTACATTCCATTGGATTCATTTCTAAGTGAAACAAAACCTTTGTTAGATGGGAGAGTGTCTGAACAGAAATATTAACCACAGTGGTTTTCAATACAAACAGGTTTTCTGTAATAAAGATGATCACATGATCTTGATCCACGACTCTTATAAGATAACTACCGGTATGCATATTTCTTCAAGTCTTCAACAAATAGTTCTAAAGAATATGAATGACACAGATTTTGTAATAATGTAATATTGTGTCTGCTCCCAATTTGATTATGTGCCTATTTCCCAGGTGCTGGCTACATTCCTCATCCAACACGAGAGGAAACATGGTGTACAATCATCAGGGGTCATGTTCTTATTCTGGTTGATGCTGTTGACATCGGGAATTCTCATTTTCCAGTCCAAAGTGCGAACAGCTGCCGGAGAGGTAAGTATCACTGTGGTCAATTTTATTCAATGTTGCCAAAGACCTCGACTTATATATATTATGTCAATAAAACTTTCCCAGAACTATCATTAGCAAGTGACATCATATCAATTTGTAGCAAGAAATGTTAATATAAGGTGAAGGTCATTTTCAACATATAGTTGTCAATAATAAGTCAAGGCCATTTTAACAGAAAGTTTGTTGGAAATGTCTGTACAAGAGCAAATCCTTCTCAACTATTAGTTGTCAGACACATAAACATCAGGTCAAAGTCATTTCAACAAACATTACTAGAACCGTATCATATCAAGTTAATTCAATAAAAAGTTACCTGAGCAGTTCAAGGTCATTCCAGTTGGCAATGATCATAAAAATGATAATAATGTCAGTCATGTCACTTTAAATTCCATGTTGAGATGCAGATGTCATAGTTCATTAATGTATATGGTGGTATAACGTACCAAAATGTATACACATGCCATTTGCCCATTGACTGTGTATTTACAGCTAAACTTGGATATAAATATTATCTTTACAACAATCATAAACTATCAACCACTTTCCATAATAACAAAGGTTCACTTAGTAAAGTTTTTACTATAATCTATTTTCTTGGAGTTTTTGCATGTTAGATGTAATATACAGTAGAACTGAGTTATATAAGTCACTAGCTATAGGATCATGAGCAAACTTCAAAATGAAGTGGGGATATATGGATATCAGACACTGGCGTTTCAGACAGGGATATCCCACGTCATAGCCCATACTAGATTTTTTTCTCTTTCAATCTGTCTGGCACCTTTACATGACATTTTGCAGAATTTTAGACAGTCATGTATTCATCAGCACGCTAACAGCTTTAAATTGACAATCCGCATTATAAATATTCTGTTTTGTCATTATATAGTTGGTTTTGATGGTGTTAGCTTACATATTAAATATATTTTATACTATGATATACTTTGTTATCTTTGTAAGGATGGATAACATTTTGATGTGAAAACATTCAAACATGGCTTTAATAATGAAAAGGCAATATTTATTTGAGGCCCTATACGGTATACTTGTACACTTTAGCAAAATCAAATTGTTTTTCAAACTAAAAGGT